ACCTCCTGAGTTTTGCAATTCTTTCGTGGATTTCCATGCTGACAGCAATGAATTACTCTGTTTGTGACAGCAAGAGGTACATCCTCAGAAAAATCTTCCACCTGCCAAACCAGACGATGCAGCCCCTTTTCTTTCTTTCTTTTATCATCAGACCTACAAATAAAAGCAAGCACTTAAAGACAAGAAATTGTAATAATAATCTTCAGTTCTCTAAAAGCAACCAAAACATCTCTTATTCTCATTCTTACCAAGCAACGAAAGACGTCAGAGTTTCTCTCTTGTGGCATTCTAGCACAGTGTTGAGGTCAGCTTCTTTGGTGATGAAGCCAGACACATGGGTTTTTGAAATGTTCAAGACATTAAAACAATCAGGGAGCCATTTTGTGGCAAAAGATTTAGTAAGGTAATCTGTAAATAAGAACTAGGGAGAACATGGTGCATTTGAAGAAACTTTTGAACTTGAAATAACATATTCTATGGCAATTCTTACCTGGAGTAAATGGAGCAAACAGATTAGTAGGAGCAGTGATGTTGGATTTCAGTGCAGCATTTGACCTGATAGATCATAAAATACTGCTTCAAAAATTAGAATGCTATGGCTTTACACCTTCGTCTCTGTCATGGATGGGGAGTTACCTATCCAATAGGAAGCAGCGGGTGTTCTTTAATGGTCAATATTCATCTACTAAGACAATACATTGTGGAGTGCCCCAGGGTAGTTGCCTTGGGCCTTTGCTATACTTGATCTTTACAAATGATTTACCTTTTATTGTGAAACATTCAACTGTTGTTATGTATGCAGATGATTCCACACTGTACTGTTCTGGAGAAACTCCTCAATATGTCTCAAATCTATTAAATCATGATTTGCAGAATATAAGCAAGTGGGTAAAAGATAACAAATTAGTTTTAAATGTAGACAAATTGACATCTATGATATTCTGGAAAAGATCAAAACTAATTACCCAGCCCTCTCTGAACTTGTCAGTCAATGGGCTGCAGCTAAGACAGGTGATGCAAGTCAGGTTACTGGGTGTCACCTTGGATTCTTACTTGTCTTGGTCAGCTCATATTGATGGAATGATAGTTAAAATGAGGAATGGTATTGCAATGTCCAGAAAATGTATTTCATATATTCCTATCTCCATTGCTAAACAGGTTGTTCAGTCTCTTGTTTTGTGCCATTTAGAAAACTGTCCAATTATATGGTCGTCTGCATCACAAAAAGACCTTCGTAAGCTTCAAGTGGCACAAAATAGGGCAGCGAGGACTGTCCTCCAGTGCTCTCTTGACACTAACGTGGTCCTGATGCATAAATGCCTTTCTTGGCTCACAGTTGAAGACAAAATTAAACTACGATTAATTTTAATATTGTGGAACGCAGTTTTTATGAAACAGCCACAGTTTCTCTCTGAGCAGATTGTTTTTGTAGGAAGTAGACACCTATATGCCACCAGGCAGGCATTAGGCGGTGACATAAAACTTTCGCTTCCCAGGACAAATTTTCTGAAACGCACATCACTTTATAGAGCAATATCTATTTGGAATCGACTCTCTGTCTCATCACGCAGAATTCAGAACAAATTTAAATTTAAGAGGACAGTAACCCAGGAATTGCTGCAAATTACCTTGTGGAGGCTGGAAATTGTCATGTTATTTTACTTGGTAATATTTTGTATGTAATTGCAATGTTTGAAATCTTTTTGATTGTAATTTGTGTTGTTATTGTTTTGTATAATTTTATGTTGTGAATATGTTAAAGAGGACCCCAGGAAGATTAGCTGCCATTAAATGGGCCGCTAATGGGGATCCTAATAAAAATGAAATGAAATGAGTAATTATGGTCTGGTCTGCCATAATGCACACAAAACAGAAGGCCTAAAAAACTTAATGTGATGACAGATTCTTACCATAGTATAGCCTAACGTTACATTATATGTGCTCTTTAAGTGAGTCTTCAATAATTCTATTACAAAGACTATATTAACAATAATATACAAGACAAGCATCTCGAACGGGACACCTAGCATAGTATAAAACATTATTCCCAATTGTCAATATGTAATAACGTTTCAGTCTACAATTATTCATATAGTTTCAATAGTAATTCAATAGTTAAAACGGCAGAATCTTACAACGACTAAAACACCAGTAAACATTTGATGAGACATTTGATCAAAAAGTGAATATTTAAACAAACCGTTAAGCATTAAAGTAGTAAAGTCATTCCGTCATTGGCAGTTAAATTAATATTAATGTTATGTCAGAAAAGTTACTCCGTCGTTTCGTGGTATTCCCGCCATTTCTGAAGCCTAAAGTGGGCGGGGCCGGCCGTCGCCATCTTGGCAGCGCGTCACCTCTCGTCACTCCCGGATAAAATAAAATGGGCAAAGAGGCGAGACCTGGGTGGAGCTGAGGTGCTAATGCTATACATATGCTGTGTCCCAATTCGCTTATACTACGTCCTAAAAGTATACTCTTTTTGTGAAGAAAAAGTACATACTTTTGAGTGTGTAGCTAAAGAGTAGGCAAGCTTTGGGACATACTATCACGTCATACTATCACGGACAGGCCTGTCGCGTGCATCTGTCACCGTAAACTGCCCTGTCAATCATCTTGCAATTTGAATATAATGATGCATTTAAAAGGTAATGGCTAAACGTATCTTTACAAAAGTTCACAATGCTGTTGCAGATGCAATATAATGTGGACAACATTGAATAAATTCATTCAATAAATCAGGTTAGATACTGATAATTAATCACTCAAACCTCTTTATCTAAACCAGTGGTTCCCAAACCTGTCCTGGCTACCCACCAACACTGCACGTTTTCTTTGTCTCCCTAATCAAACACAACTGATTCAACTCATCAGATCATTATCACATGGGTGGGTTAATGATCTGATGAGTTGAATCAGGTGTGTTTGATTAGGGAGACAAAGAAAACGTGCAGTGTTGGTGGGTCGCCAGGACAGGTTTGGGAACCACTGATCTAAACCTCTCTACATAACCACCGGACTCGCGCATCCTCCATGTCTGTAGTTTTTTAACACTTTTCACTCGTGTTTGTAGTTCTCACCGAATCCTCGTCCAACGCGCGATGGGTTGTGGGCAATATCAGCCGTTAGCGTGCGCAACGATCTGCACTTCGGATTCTGACCGGATATAGTAGACCATCCGGGTCTCTTTGAAACACTCATTTCAACTACGATTTGGGACGTACTAATTCTATTTTTGAATACTATTTACGACGGATAGTATGCGAATTGGGACGCAGCAACAGTTCCCACAGGCCAATTAATGTCACGTGACCTCCCCAGAGACCCCATCTTTGATGGCATAAGCTGCTGTGTTTACAAAGTTTTACCAGAGAATGTCGTTTTACAAGCAAATTTCGAATATTTCTTTCTGTTTATAATGTTACGCAAATCATGAAGAGAAAAAAGTGAAAGATTATACTCCATTAACACTTTACAGATCAGTTTATCAGTACTCTTTACAGACACAAAGAGGTACAATGCGAACATTTCATTAATAAATGGTGTGGATCCGTATGCGCTAACGAAGCTTTGCCTCAGATACAGTATTTTCATGTGTACCACTATCTGGTATTGGCTAGGAGTTCACACATGTGAGCAATTCCGAGCCTGGAAATCACTGGAGGCGTACAATCAGTTTGCCGAGGGTTGGGTTGGTGACGTTTGCTCAAGTGCAATCAATGGAAAACTAGTCATCATAGCGAAGGTATAGCATGATGCTAGACTATCTATCTATTAAAAAGCCATAGTCTGCACAATTTAATTCCTATGTTCCCTTAAAACAGTCACCGGTGCTTTCTGTATATGCATGTACTTATTTGTACACTGAAGAATAGGGGTGGAACGGCACATGTATTCGTATTGAACCGAAACGGTACAGGCGTCATGGTTCGGTGCATGAATATAAAAATAAATAAAACTCGCGTGCAAATTAATTAATGTCATGCGGAACTACTTTATACGCGGGTTCTTTAGGGACATAATCTGAGATTGCAATGTGTGTGAGTGAGTGAGTGAGAGAGGCGCGGGCGCGATCGAACAGTGGAAACAATGTTGTTTTGTATGTTTTTAATACCTCGTCATTTTGTTCATACAGGACATCATTCAAACTACAAAGTGTTAACTTATATTTGTGTACACTCGCAATAAAACACAACATTGTGCTTTTGTCAAACTGTAAAACAAATTCTTGCATGTTTTGAGGGAGTTTCTTTCCCATTTATCCTCGCCAGCCATAACCTCCGTCGTTGTTCTGACAAAAGCTTGTGTCTTCTTGTGAATGTGTCTTCTCACATTCATGGAGTCTAATGACGGGTATACTGTAAAATCCAAATTTAACTGAACCTCCGGCACGATTTGAACATCCATTGACCCAGCAGGAGATGACCATTTTAATTTTTTAACACGAAACTCATTTCACTTCATTTCAGCTTCTTCTAATGCTCTGCCCACAGCAATGGCACCGGGTTGGCAAATGCCCGTATGTTGTGACGTCATGTAGGAACTATGTATATGCTACTGGCCTCGCGCTAAAGTGACCTCGCGCTAAAGTGACATGCTGATTGAAGTAGTAAAGCCAATAGTTAAAGTTCATGTTTTTGCCCTTCGAGATACTATAATAGTTAAAAGACGTAAATAAAAGTGAGACTGTGTATCGTGATGCATTATTATCCTGCTAGTTAAAAATGTATTATGCAGTAACTTACAATATTGCTCTGAGCTTGTGCGTGGGACAGTGATTCATGCGTATACATGTCAGTCAGCATGGCATCACACATCAAGTCCGTAAAGAGCTTTATTCAGTCCATTTTAAAATCTGATTTTAGCCGCCTCTCAATTTCTCAAAAGGGTTAAACCAAAGATATTACCTCAGAAGTTCAAGTTAATGCACTAGAAACCCGCGCTCATTCAAGGGTGTGCATCTACTGATGGACGGAGAGAAAGCACTGACACCTGCAGGATTTCATCTGCGGTACTTTTTATTTAACACTAAAGTTAAATAAGCATCTGTTCCGTGAGAGCAACAGTAGCGCATAACGAGTGTGGTCTCTATATCTACAGACGTTTTTAAATCTAAACTCCAAAAAGCAAAGAAATTGTCAGACATCCATTAGTGCATGCGAGGAAAACAACTGGAAATACAGCGCTGGTTGTGCTCTCCATACTCGACAACGGCGGAATCCAGCGGCGTGGGCGGAGGTATAGCTCGTGTATTGTATGAAATAATCCCGAAAAAAACACAAACACGGCAGAGATGGCAAGTTCAGCAGTGGCTGGGATTAGCTGAGAGTGACGCTAGTGATGTGTCGTTCATTTTGAACGAATCTTTAATATGACTCGGGACTACCGAGTTGTCTCAGAGAGTGATTCGTTCATTTTGTGTTGACCGCGCATGCGCATTGCGCAACATGTGGGTTCTGAATCTGTACTGGAAACAGAAATGATTAGTTCATCTCTCGAGTCTTCGGGTTCGGCCGGGTCCGAGTCTTTCGTTCTTCCTGTCAGTCCCATAGAGGCTATGCTGTCAGTACCGGAAAGAGGAATGATTAGTTCATCTTTCGAGTCTCGAGTTCGGGTTCGGCCGGGTCCGAGTCTTTCGTTCTTCCTGTCAGTCCCATAGAGGCTATGCTGTCAGTACCGGAAAGAGTAATGATTAGTTCATCTTTCGAGTCTCGAGTTCGGCCGGGTTCGAGTCTTTCGTTCTTCCTGTCAGTCCTATAGAGGCTATGCTGTCAGTACCGGAAAGAGGAATGATTAGTTCATCTTTCGAGTCTCGAGTTCGGGTTCGGCCGGGTTCGAGTCTTTCGTTCTTCCTGTCAGTCCTATAGAGGCTATGCTGTCAGTACCGGAAAGAGTAATGATTAGTTCATCTTTCGAGTCTCGAGTTCGGGTTCGGCCGGGTCTGAGTCTTTCGTTCTTCCTGTCAGTCCTATAGAGGCTATGCTGTCAGTACCGGAAAGAGTAATGATTAGTTCATCTTTCGAGTCTCGAGTTCGGGTTCGGACGGGTCCGAGTCTTTCGTTCTTCCTGTCAGTCCTATAGAGGCTATGCTGTCAGTACCGGAAAGAGTAATGATTAGTTCATCTTTCGAGTCTCGAGTCTCGAGTTCGGCTGGGTCCGAGTCTTTCGTTCTTCCTGTCAGTCCCATAGAGGCTATGCTGTCAGTACCGGAAAGAGTAATGATTAGTTCATCTTTCGAGTCTCGAGTTCGGCTGGGTCCGAGTCTTTCGTTCTTCCTGTCAGTCCTATAGAGGCTATGCTGTCAGTACCGGAAAGAGTAATGATTAGTTCATCTTTCGAGTCTCGAGTTCGGCTGGGTCCGAGTCTTTCGTTCTTCCTGTCAGTCCCATAGAGGCTATGCTGTCAGTACCGGAAAGAGGAATGATTAGTTCATCTTTCGAGTCTCGAGTTCGGGTTCGGCCGGGTCCGAGTCTTTCGTTCTTCCTGTCAGTCCCATAGAGGCTATGCTATCAGTACCGGAAAGAGGAATGATTAGTTCATCTTTCGAGTCTCGAGTTCGGGTTCGGCCGGGTCCGAGTCTTTCGTTCTTCCTGTCAGTCCTATAGAGGCTATGCTGTCAGTACCGGAAAGAGTAATGATTAGTTCATCTTTCGAGTCTCGAGTTCAGGTGGGTCCGAGTCTTTCGTTCTTCCTGTCAGTCCTATAGAGGCTATGCTGTCAGTACCAGAAAGAGTAATGATTAGTTCATCTTTCGAGTCTCGAGTTCGGGTTCGGCCGGGTCCGAGTCTTTCGTTCTTCCTGTCAGTCCCATAGAGGCTATGCTGTCAGTACCGGAAAGAGGAATGATTAGTTCATCTTTCGAGTCTCGAGTTCGGGTTCGGCCGGGTCCGAGTCTTTCGTTCTTCCTGTCAGTCCCATAGAGGCTATGTTGTCAGTACCGGAAAGAGTAATGATTAGTTCATCTTTCGAGTCTCGAGTTCGGGTTCGGCCGGGTCCGAGTCTTTCGTTCTTCCTGTCAGTCCTATAGAGGCTATGCTGTCAGTACCGGAAAGAGGAATGATTAGTTCATCTTTCGAGTCTCGAGTTCGGGTTCGGCCGGGTCCGAGTCTTTCGTTCTTCCTGTCAGTCCTATAGAGGCTATGCTGTCAGTACCGGAAAGAGTAATGATTAGTTCATCTTTCGAGTCTCGAATTCGGCTGGGTCCGAGTCTTTCGTTCTTCCTGTCAGTCCTATAGAGGCTATGCTGTCAGTACCGGAAAGAGTAATGATTAGTTCATCTTTCGAATCTCGAGTTCGGCCGGGTCCGAGTCTTTCGTTCTTCCTGTCAGTCCCATAGAGGCTATGCTGTCAGTACCGGAAAGAGGAATGATTAGTTCATTTTTTTCGAATCTTTGGGTTTGAGTCTGTTTAAAGATGATTCCTGTTCGTGAAGCTGCTTACACACTTACGACATATATAACAGTCCTTTCTTTAATGAATTTTCATGTGGCAATTAAGGTTTCCTCTAAATCTGAAACTCCTGCCACACTGTTGGCAGGTAAAAGGCTTCTCTCCAGTGTGAATTCTCATGTGGACTTTAAGGCTATCGTTTTGAGTGAATGTTTTTCCACACTGTTGACAGATGAAGGGGTTCTCTCCAGTGTGAATTCTCATGTGGGAATTAAGGTTTCCTTTAAGATTGAAATTCATTCCACACTGTTGGCAGGTGTAAGGCTTCTCTCCAGTGTGAATTATCATGTGGCCTTTAAGATGCCCCTTTTGAGTGAAACCCTTTCCACACTGAGGGCATGTGAATGGCTTCTCTCCAGTGTGAACTCTCATGTGGTTGATAAGACTTCCTTTTTGAATGAAACTCTTTCCACACTGTTGGCAGGTGAAATCCTTCTCTCGAGTGTGACTTCTCATGTGTACTTTAAGGCTTTCATTTTGAGTGAATGTTTTTCCACACTGTTGGCAGGTGAAAGGCTTCTCTTTAGTGTGAACTCTCATGTGGACTTTAATGTTTCCTTTAAATCTGAAACTCTTTCCACACTGTTGGCAGGTGAAAGGCTTCTCTCCAGTGTGAATTCTCATGTGGACTTTAAGGCTATCTTTTTGAGTGAATGTTTTTCCACACTGTTGGCAGGTGAAAGGCTTCTCTTTAGTGTGAACTCTCATGTGGACTTTAAGTCTTTCGATTTGAGTCAAACTCTTTCCACGCTGTTGGCAGATGAAGGGTGTCTCTCCAGTGTGAACTCTCATGTGGACTTTAAGGCTTCCATTATTAGTGAAACTCTTTCCACGCTGTTGGCAGGTGAAAGGCTTCTCTTTAGTGTGAACTCTCATGTGGACTTTAAGGCTTCCATTATAAGTGAAACTCTTTCCACACTGTTGGCAGGTGAAAGGCTTCTCTTTAGTGTGAACTCTCATGTGGACTTTAATGTTTCCTTTAAATCTGAAACTCTTTCCACACTGTCGACAGGTGAAAGGCTTCTTTCCAGTGTGAATTCTCATGTGTCTATCAAGGCTTGCCTTTCCTGGAAAACCTTTTCCACACTGTTGGCAGGCAAAAGGCTTCTCTGCAGTGTGAATTATCATGTGGCCTTTAAGATGTCCCTTTTGAGCGAAACTCTTTCCACAATGAGGGCATGTGAATGGCTTCTCTCCTGTGTGAATTCTCATGTGGATGACAAGACTTCCTTTTTGAGTGAAACTCTTTCCACACTGTTGGCAGGTGAAAGGCTTCTCTCCAGTGTGAATTCTCATGTGTCTTTTAAGGTCTCCATGTAGATTGAATCTCCTTCCACACTGAGAGCAGGTGAGAGTTCTAGTTCCTGTCTTCTGAGCTCTTTTTAGTGTGGAAGTCTTATTAGTCTGTGAGCAACTAAAATATTTTTCTTCAGTTAGGTCTTCATAATCTTTCTCTTCCTTTTCATTCAGTACTTGACTTTCCATTTTCAGCAGCATCAGGCCTAAGTTAAATACAACAAATACAAGTTAACTCCAGTTTAATGGCATTACACGACACATATAGCAACATTTATATTTACGCATACAGACGCTTTTATCCAAAGCCACTTACATTGCATCTCAAGGTACACATTTACATTCTTATCAGGTCTTGCTTTCCCTGGGAATCAAACCCATGACCTTGGCGTTGCAAGTGCCAACACTACTGTTTGAGAGACAGTAGAAAACATTTATACCAATGTTTCACAAAGTGGTCCCATACTTCCCCCACTCATTATCCAGGCCCCTCACCACCCCTAACAAATAAAATGTAGTCTAATTGTTAATATAGACAGACAAAGTCAAAATAGACAGTAAAGACATTCATACGATTAAAAAAACGATTTATGTTTCAAATAAATGCTGTTCTACAATTCTGTTCATTAAAGAATCCTGATTAAAAAAACCACTTCGAGTTCATCATAAGAAGAAAGGATTCTTGAGCACTAAATCAGCAAATTAGGATGATTCTGATAAAAGTTCACATTTGTCATTATAGGAATAAATTACATTTTAAAATATATTAAAATAGAAAACCATTATATTAACATTTAATTATGTTAAAGTGTTAGTTCACCCAAAAATGACATTTCTGTCATTAATTCCGAGAAAGGTAGTAAAGAGATAGTTAAAATAGTCCATGTGACTATACAGGTTGAGGTTGAACTCTTCAACAACAATTTAAATATTTGTAGAAATAAGACGATTGCAGTAATGAGATTTGAGTAATGAGACGATTGCAATTCACCAGTTTCACAAATAATATTACTATATTTTATGGGTAGCCAGGGAAAACCCAGACAACTTCCGGCAAATTTAGATTTGCTCTGAAAGTTAGTCTGGCAAAGAGCTCATTCAAGCCCATTTCCAATCCGTCGAAATCGAGGCACCAATCAGAAGCGTTGGGGCGGGCTTTACACGATGAGGACAGCGCTGGGATTTTGAAGCAGATTTTGTAGCCTACATTACAAAGATGGATGCCGCCGTCGAACATCACTCGTTCCAATCAGCTATCGCGTCTGTTTTAAAGGGATACTCCGCTTTTTTTGGAAATAGGCTCATTTTACAACTCCCCCAGAGTTAAACTGTTGAGTTTTACCGTTTTTGAATCCATTCAGCCGATCTCCGGTTCTGGCGGTACCACTTTTAGCATAGCTTAGCATACATCATTGGAGTTGACAAGACCATTAGCATTTCTCAAAAAAAAAATGACCAAAGAGTTTTGATATTTTTCCTATTTAAAACTTGACTCTTCTGTAGTTACATCGTGCACTAAGACCGACGGAAAATGAAAAGTTGCGATTTTCTAGGCTGGTATGGCTAGGAACTATACTCTCATTCCTGCGTAATAATCAAGAAACTTCACTGCCGTACCATGAGAGCAGCAGGCGTAATGATATCACGCAGCGCCTGAAAATAGTTCCGTTGTGTTGACGGAAGGTGGCCTATTTTCAGGCGCTGCGTCACAAGTCTGTTTTGATTTAATGGTCAGAAGCTGTCTAGCCTATATGACAAAAGAAAATCACAAACATGACACTTGTAAATCTTTTTTTTATGAGTAATATAACTTTCAAACAAATTAGGAAAAAGAAATTTGTCTGGTCATGTGATCTCAACATGTCTGTCCACATGAGGCTTCGCTCTGTGTCAAATAAAACCACTTTAATTAAGACAAAATATATCACTCATTCGTAGAGCTGGACATTTTAATAAGGATCAAATGACTGAGTTCAGCTTTGAGAATGAAACTGACCTGTTTGTTCCTCAGTTTCTTCTTGTTTCACACTGAAGGTTTCTTCAATCTTCACGTCTTCAATCTCCTCTTTAATAAACGGCATCTTTATGTCTTCACTCTCCTTTTTTATAAAAGCCATCTTTATAATACTGTGTCACGTGGTCTCAGATCTTCACCAGGAGTTTTTCCTCCGTTTATGAACACTTCGTCCTGTTTAATATGAGAATAATTAACAGAAAGAAAAACACTCTAAACTAAATCTCTGAGAACGTCTCAATCAGATCTAGTTCAGTAGTTCAGTTCACTGGTAAGAGAGTCAGTCAGAGAGAGAGTTAATGGACTTAAATGATCTGATTAGACTAAAAACACTCTAAACTAAATCTCTGAGAGCGTCTCAATCAGATCTAGTTCAGTAGTTCAGTTCACTGGTAAGAGAGTCAGTCAGAGAGAGAGAGTTAATGGACTTAAATGATCTGATTAGACTAAAAACACTCTAAACTAAATCTCTGAGAGCGTCTCAATCAGATCTAGTTCAGTAGTTCAGTTCACTGGTAAGAGAGTCAGTCAGAGAGAGAGAGTTAATGGACTTAAATGATCTGATTAGACTAAAAACACTCTAAACTAAATCTCTGAGAGCGTCTCAATCAGATCTAGTTCAGTAGTTCAGTTCACTGGTAAGAGAGTCAGTCAGAGAGAGAGAGTTAATGGACTTAAATGATCTGATTAGACTAAAAACACTCTAAACTAAATCTCTGAGAGCGTCTCAATCAGATCTAGTTCAGTAGTTCAGGCCATCCTTAAAAATATTTTGGTTTGCAGTAACAGCAAAAAAAAAAAAAAAAAAGGGTCGGTAGGGAGGTCTATATTTTTTTTTTTTTCAAAATTCAATGAAAAAAAAAAGGACAATTTTGGTCATGGTGATTACGTCGGTATGAATTTAAACAAATGTGCATATCGTGACGCCACTGACAGTGTCTTCAATGCCTTTGGGCGCACCATTGCGAATCTCATTCTGATACAGGTTATAGACAACAAACAATTTGAAATCTTTGTCAAAAAACATGTTTATTGCATTAATTCCAGCTGCATTCATTTGGGGGAAAAGAGTGGATTTTCAGAGGGAAACAAATAAATTAATGACTAATCTCACCAGCGCCGCGCCGACCAATAAAACAGCGCATTTGGCACTATTCGTTTAAATTGGACCCATAAACATCTGCTATTATTAACGGAAATCAGTGAGGTCAAATGGCTAGGCGCATTGTAGAAACTATATTAAGTAGTCCTGACATATTATGGAATGGTCGATTTTCTTTAGTGTAATTTAGTACATTTCGGTATGGGATGTGCTGTTTTATTGGTCAGCGCGGCGCTGGTGAGATTAGGTCGCGCAAGCAAACACTTCCTTCCTCCCTGCGCTGTCGAGTCTGTCGCGCTCGCGCGTCTCGGTCCATTGAGCCACGCAGATTAGCTACATGTCCGCGCTGCGCGAACTCTGTAACACCCCGCCGTTTCGTCCCACTTTCGGTGTGTTTGGCTTCCCATACTTATGTGTGTTTGTCAGAGCCTGCCGTTGCTGTGTGACGCGCGTTCGCGGCGGCCATATCGTGACGAGCTGCTGGACGCGCTCCGAGAAAAGGCCGTTAACATCTATTCCCTATTCGACCATTAAGAATTTCGAATAATGAGCGACTAAATGTAGGCTCATACAGACGTATTTCACAAGCAGCCGCGCCGCAGCCATCATCACCGAGCGCGAACCATTGACAGTGAATGAAATGAATCGAACGCACAGGCCATAGTGTGACATGCGTAAACCAATGGTGTAAACATAATCATAGATGACGCCACGGGTTTTTATTTAAAAGAAAGAACGTAGCCTGCTTACTATAATATAATTTATATTTTATTGCATTTGTATTAGGTGTTTGAAGAGTAAAAAAAAATCGGTCGGTCTTAATGCAAATTTACAACCGGCAAGTCGGTCGGACTAAAAGAAAAAAAAAAAAAAAATTTGGGTCGGTCCTAAATTGACAGGGTCGGTCGGGTTACGGCAAACAAGAATATTTTTAAGGATGGCCTCAGTTCACTGGTAAGAGAGTCAGTCAGAGAGAGAGAGTTAATGGACTTAAATGATCTGATTAGACTAAAAACACTCTAAACTAAATCTCTGAGAGCGTCTCAATCAGATCTAGTTCAGTAGTTCAGTTCACTGGTAAGAGAGTCAGTCAGAGAGAGAGTTAATGGACTTAAATGACCTGATTAGACTAAAAACACTCTAAACTAAATCTCTGAGTGCGTCTCAATCAGATCTAGATCAGTAGTTCAGTTCACTGGTAAGAGAGTCAGTCAGAGAGAGAGTTAATAGACTTAAATGACCTGATTAGACTAAAAACACTCTAAACTAAATCTCTGAGAGCGTCTCAATCAGATCTAGTTCAGTAGTTCAGTTCACTGGTAAGAGAGTCAGTCAGAGAGAGAGAGTTAATGGACTTAAATGATCTGATTAGACTAAAACACTCTAAACTAAATCTCTGAGAGCGTCTCAATCAGATCTAGTTCAGTAGTTCAGTTCACTGGTAAGAGAGTCAGTCAGAGAGAGAGTTAATGGACTTAAATGACCTGATTAGACTAAAAACACTCTAAACTAAATCTCTGAGAGCGTCTTAATCAGATCTAGTTCAGTAGTTCAGTTCACTGGTAAGAGAGTCAGTCAGAGAGAGAGTTAATGGACTTAAATGACCTGATTAGACTAAAAACACTCTAAACTAAATCTCTGAGAGCGTCTCAATCAGATCTAGTTCAGTAGTTCAGTTCACTGGTAAGAGAGTCAGTCAGAGAGAGAGTTAATGGACTTAAATGACCTGATTAGACTAAAAACACTCTAAACTAAATCTCTGAGAGCGTCTCAATCAGATCTAGTTCAGTAGTTCAGTTCACTGGTAAGAGAGTCAGTCAGAGAGAGAGTTAATGGACTTAAATCACCTGATTAGACTAAAAACACTCTAAACTAAATCTCTGAGAGCGTCTCAATCAGATCTAGTTCAGTAGTTCAGTTCACTGGTAAGAGAGTCAGTCAGAGAGAGAGAGAGAGTTAATGGACTTAAATGATCTGATTAGACTAAAAACACTCTAAACTAAATCTCTGAGAGCGTCTCAATCAGATCTAGTTCAGTAGTTCAGTTCACTGGTAAGAGAGTCAGTCAGAGAGAGAGAGTTAATGGACTTAAATGACCTGATTAGACTAAAAACACTCTAAACTAAATCTCTGAGAGCGTCTCAATCAGATCTAGTTCAGTAGTTCAGTTCACTGGTAAGAGAGTCAGTCAGAGAGAGAGAGAGAGTTAATGGACTTAAATGATCTGATTAGACTAAAAACACTCTAAACTAAATCTCTGAGAGCGTCTCAATCAGATCTAGATCAGTAGTTCAGTTCACTGGTAAGAGAGTCAGTCAGAGAGAGAGAGTTAATGGACTTAAATGACCTGATCAGACTAAAAACACTCTAAACTAAATCTCTGAGAGCGTCTCAATCAGATCTAGTTCAGTAGTTCAGTTCACTGGTAAGAGAGTCAGTCAGAGAGAGAGTTAATGGACTTAAATGACCTGATTAGACTAAAAACACTCTAAACTAAATCTCTGAGAGCGTCTCAATCAGATCTAGTTCAGTAGTTCAGTTCACTGGTAAGAGAGTCAGTCAGAGAGAGAGAGAGAGTTAATGGACTTAAATGATCTGATTAGACTAAAAACACTCTAAACTAAATCTCTGAGAGCGTCTCAATCAGATCTAGATCAGTAGTTCAGTTCACTGGTAAGAGAGTCAGTCAGAGAGAGAGAGTTAATGGACTTAAATGACCTGATCAGACTAAAAACACTCTAAACTAAATCTCTGAGAGCGTCTCAATCAGATCTAGTTCAGTAGTTCAGTTCACTGGTAAGAGAGTCAGTCAGAGAGAGAGAGTTAATGGACTTAAATGACCTGATTAGACTAAAAACACTCTAAACTAAATCTCTGAGAGCGTCTCAATCAGATCTAGTTCAGTAGTTCAGTTCACTGGTAAGAGAGTCAGTCAGAGAGAGAGTTAATGGACTTAAATGACCTGATTAGACTAAAAACACTCTAAACTAAATCTCTGAGAGCGTCTCAATCAGATCTAGTTCAGTAGTTCAGTTCACTGGTAAGAGAGTCAGTCAGAGAGAGAGAGAGAGTTAATGGACTTAAATGATCTGATTAGACTAAAAACACTCTAAACTAAATCTCTGAGAGCGTCTCAATCAGATCTAGTTCAGTAGTTCAGTTCACTGGTAAGAGACTCAGTCAGAGAGAGAGAGTTAATGGACTTAAATGATCTGATTAGACCAAAAACACTCTAAACTAAATCTCTGAGAGCGTCTCAATCAGATCTAGTTCAGTAGTTCAGTTCACTGGTAAGAGAGTCAGTCAGAGAGAGAGAGTTAATGGACTTAAATGATCTGATTAGACCAAAAACACTCAAATCTAACATAAGAAGCTGATTAGTAAAAGTTATCATTAATGTGAGATAAAGCATTAAATTGTTACATTCAATAATCAAACATTAATTTAACCGTTCTTGTTAAAACTATGAAAGTGCGTGAATAGTTTGCACACAAACCTTTCTTCTTCAGCCGAATCACAACAGATGCAGCGCAGCCTTATGACGTCACACCAACAGACCAAAATAAAAGTCCTGTTCACGCGCTGAAATCACAGAAGTGCAAATATAAAACCTTTGTTTGCGTGTAAACAGGACTTTTATTCGGGGTTGAATTCTTGGTAAAATACATATTTAAATGTTAGTGAATGAGGTGATAAAAATAACTGCCAGGAAAGAGTTTGAACCACAATTAATATGTGAGATTCTGTTCATGGCTAAACACTAATGTGTGTGTGTGTGTGTGCAGAAACCGTTTAAGGGGTCAGGAACTTTTTCCAATAACAAAACAAATTAAGTTTGATGCCTTTTTTTTTAGAAAGAGCTTTATCAAAGACAATAAATAATTTGGATAATAATGTATTCAGAATGTATAATAATATTGATTCATCCTTTTCTTAAACAACTGTTAAAATGGATGAAATGTGAAGTTTATCATTTTAACTTTTTGTTTTGAGGATGTTACCATAGACA